ACGCCATACTAAACATGACCGAACCAATATAGTACCAGTGTATATTGCGCAAGATATTTCTTAGGAAGGGATGGGGAGGTGATTACCCTAAACCCCAAACCCCAAACCCCAAATCCAAGACCCAAAACCCATAGCCCTAGCCCCCCCCCCTCACCCTCTATCCAGGCCATGGTGGTCGTAGTGCTTCTGGATGCCTACTGCAATGCCGCCAGCATTGACGCGCGAGCGGCAGGGCATACAACCCCTCTGCTTTGGCAGACGTTGTCCGACATCTGCTGCTTGTGGTATTCTTTGTTGGTTTAGAGTTTTGGGGTTTTAGGGTTGTGCAAGCCCTTTTCCCTAAACCATGTGGGTATTCAGGCTTGAAAAGGTTGTACACTTCCTGGCGTGGAATGGGGCATGGGGGGTGCGAACAGCCCATGCCATGGCAGCAAAAGTAGTTTCTGTTCTGTCATTAACTGGGTTCTCTGTTCATTTGCATGTTGCACCACTATTTGTGGTGGGGGTGGACACCAATGTCTGTAAGGTACTTCCAGTGTAGGCACGCTTCTCTGCTCAGGGAATCACAGCTTCCAACATGCAATCCCTTTCTCCTTCACGTGGCGCAATTTCTACTCCCCAATACTAAAGCTGTTGCTAATGTAACTGTGGCTGAGGGGAATATTCTATACTAGCGGATGTGGTGGTCCTTCATGTTTGGGGGAAGAGATGTTCTATGTAGATACTTGTCCCTGCCCTGGAAGCCTTGCACAATGGATTCTGCCACTTTCAGCGGGTATGCTGGTGGATTCGAGGTCCCCAATCATCCGGTCCTACAAGAGATGGGAGCTACAGTTTCAGCCCAAACCTTATGCGCAGAGCCTCAACCTTAACGTATAAATGCCATTCCTGCGCGAGAGGCTTAAGAATTTTCCCTTTTATGCGGTCGATATATTGCAAGGAATCGTAGAAGGAGCCATGTGGAATTAGTGAAAGGACATATAGGAGCGCTACTTTCGAGATGGGGTGGAGATGAAGTGGCGGAGTTTTAAGGAGCAAGAGAGAGCCAACCCCTCCACCAGCTGTGGGGAGGGCTTGGGGCCGGGCGTGTCAAGCTCAGGCTTGTTCCTGTATACCTTCGAGCTGGGGCTGCAGTTTTACTTGGACGGGTCTGCCATCCTCTGGCGAGGTTCGTAGGGCTGTAGGCTTTTTCTGCTTTTCTTTTCTGCTATGGAAAGTCGTCTAGAGATTCTTGTAGCCACTCCAGCAAGGAAAGGCTTCTCAACCTCTAGGAATCTTTGTGAAAGAGGCCTGGTCATCGTCGACATTGTAGTTGTCACCGCTGGCTATGCCGCTGGGCTAAGGGTTCACGTAGTTTGGGAATAAGATTATCGCTATCGTGAAGTCTAGCGGCATCCTCTTGCTGCAATGATGCCAACCCTTCAGGACTCAAGGCGAATTCATGTAGAGGTTGCCAGCATGAATCAGAACAAAGCTTTGGGTCTCTTGATTTGGGGTCTCTTGATTTGTGATGCCTGCTGCGTGAAACAAGCGTGCAGGTATCATCTTCTTCGTTGCAAGTCCCATCAAAACCCAATTCTGGCTGCTGCTGCAAACTGTTTCCCCGGACCAGCTCCCTACACGCTTAAGCCATGGACCCAGGGAGCCCAATACACCTTAACTATGGGACATGCCTAACATCATTACACGATACGAGGATCCGTATTGCTCAATTAAGGGGTGTTGGGCTACCTGTAGAAGCTTCCAAGGTCGAGATTCTGTTGGATCTGCTATCGCCAGACAATGAGTATGTCAAGGTGGGAGCCGCGGCAAAACTTTCTGACAATCACTATGATCACAGATGCATGCAGTACTGATTTAGTTTAGGGTTTAGAGTTTAGGGTTTTGCGGTTTATGGACCCTGGCCGTTTGCCCCAGGTTGTTGTGCATCAGAAGCCAAAGGAACCCAACCTTACTAGAACCATGCAAAGTCCCGGATTAGACCACAAGGCCGGCACTGCAGGATCAAATGCACTGGAGCTAAAGTATATTGTTTCGGGGGTACCTTGTGTCTCAAACCCTGAAACCTAAGACCTCATGTTCTAGAATTCAAAAAGCCGCCGAATCCCTTCAGAAAGCATACAACTTACCCCCAGGCCCTAGATCGGCTTGCTTACCTTCTTGCCCTGCAAGGGCCATCAGGGAGATCTAGCCTAGTGGAGGTTTCTCAGTCCTGGGATGTTGCAGCAGTCCTTGGAAGGATAGAAACGGGTGTCTCCTACGCACTTTACATGCCTGCACGCAGGTGTAGAAGGTGATCCCCGCACCTTCACCCTAAACCGTAAGTTGCATCTCCATCAGGTGGGTGGCAATTTTTGGTGCAGGTAATTTTTACTCCCCCACTGTGGAGTAGGCCAAGCTTACAACCTAAACCTCTGAACTAACCCTAAAACCCAGCCCCTGAATCCCTGAAGCCTAAAACCCTAAACCCGAACACTGAAGCTCTAACCCCTAACCCCCTAAACTCCTAGACCCTTATCCCAACAACCTACAAAGCACTTAACCCCCAAACCCCCGAACCCCAAACCCTCAATCCTGATCCCTGCACTTGTCAGGTGGGAGTTCTCAGCGTGCTTCGACTCGCCCGTGTGGTGCGGCTGTTGAAGTTGCTCCGAAAGGTGGAAGATGTTGCGGGGTTTAGGGGTTTAGGGTAACGAGGGTGCAGGGTTTACAGGCGAGGGCGTTTCCTCAGGTCCATGTAAGGGGGTTAGGGTAATATCTAGGGTGGATGGTTCATGCTTAGGGGTTGGGGGAGGTCAGGGTCGGTATCATAGAAAAGATATGGAAACGGAAATCGGAAAGAGTGGTTTATAGGGATGCATAGGGTTTGGGTTTTGGGGGGGTTAGGGGATTAGGGGTTCAGGGTTCCGGGATTAGTGTGGGGATTTTAGGTTTTGGGGGGTTGTTTTAGGGCTTGAGAAGATTGTAAGGTTTGATCCGTTGAGTGAGGTCTCAAGCTCATAGTTCAGGTTTCCATACATATCATTATATCTCTACTTGAAGCGCACAACAGCCCAGATAGCGCCCGCTGCCCTTGAAGTAGAGCGTGGGGCCGAAGTAGACAACCTAGTACGAATAATCGCGAAGGGGGGGGGGAGACTTGTACTCATCTTTCGCGCTCAGAACAGTTGACGCGGCAAAACATGTGCATGACTTACCGCGATGGCATTGAACACTGCCGGATTTTGATGTTCGAGAAACTTTAAATGTCGGCTACGGATCCTGATAGTAGCCCCCATAAAACCCCAATTATGGTAGCTTCCATTCTCTTTTCCACTCCTAAACTGTTCTAAGACCTAAACCCTATATAACCCATGGCGCTTGAAAAGCGCTGCCTCCCTAATGCAAGCGGCCAACGCTGGCCTTCCCAATCTTTTTAGAGTGCTGTGGTCTCAAACGTCGTGGTGTCGGGGGCTTTATATGTGAGAGTCTCCAAGGAAGGCCCCTGAACAACCCCGTGGCAGTGCTCCTTCTCCTTGTGGGGTCGGTACTTTATGACAACTTCCAAAACCAAACCCCTGAACCCTCACATTCCACGACAGTCCCTTGTTTGAGGGAGCGTACAGAGTCCATTCCTTGAAGGTCAAGGCCTTGCGGGAACTGCAGAAGTTGGCCGCTCGTTTCTACTTAGTTGGCCCAATCGGGAAGTACAGGGTACATTTTTTTTGTGTGCGGAGGGTCAGATGGGGTAATTGCCATCAATAGGTGGATCCCGCTGTAGACCCAAATCAGGCCTCCAAATACTTCAATCCTTACTAGAGGCCGCAAAAAAGAACCCCCCGAATTCTGGGATGCACCCATTAGTGGGTTCTATTCGATTGGCGGTATCCCTGAACCCTGTGCACGGCGGGCTTTTATGCCAAACCACGGCAAAAGCTTCCAATTCCAAGATGCTGGGGTTTAGGGTCTACATATCTTCTTGTTTACACAACCCCTCATATACCTCTAGGGTCCCAAAACCCTAGACCCCAAACCCTAAGGTCCTTAAGGGAATACCTGAATCATCCTCTAAACCCTAAAAAAACATTGAATCCCAGTTTGGAGGGACTTCCATGGTGGGTATCAGGCGAAGCTGAGGGTTGCCAGGCTCTTGGGGTAGTTTGAGGAAGGGTTAGGGTTTAGGGTTTAGGGTTTAGGGTTTGTGGTTTAGGGTCTGGGGTTCAGCGTTTGGGGTTCAGGGTTCGGTGTTTAGGGTTCAGTGCCTGCAAGATGTTTTCAGAAAAGACGCCAGTTGCTTCAACAATAGCAGGAGATGGGCTGTAGGTTGCAGGTGGCTGTGCAGGAATCAAGTGACATGGCAACGGTTTTTGGGGTTGCGGTGCCTACGCCCTCAGCCCAAAGCTTCAAATTTTAATAGATAACCAACCATCTACCTAAAGTTATGAATGCGCCCAAGCTTGTGGACGTCATGCGCCATCTAGAGCCCCCAAGAATGAACAAGCGGTCCGTTTTCGAGGCTATGTAGAACCGAGTAGGGCATCAGGGGTCCTGAGGGGAACCCCGTATGCTGCAAAAACCATTTAAGGAAGGGATTGTGTAAGTCTATCCCCCAAACTATCATATGAGTGGTTGTCGAAATTATGGTTTCCTTTGGGATCCCTATTATAACGCAGCACCTAATATTTAGGGCACCCAACAAAGGGAGCATGATTTTGACAGGCCCCCCTATGATGCCTACGAGTTCCTTAGTACAGGGGCTGGGATAACCAAACAAATCCCCTTGTACTTTTCTTTTGCGCTTGGTTTCATCACGCAAGTCTAGCGACATTGCCCTTTCCTTTGCTCCGTTGTACATGAGATCCAACTAAGGGTATACAATCTTAAACCCTAAACCCTAAACCGCATCATTTAGATGTTTTGGGGGCTGCCACATGGTGGGGGCAGAATCCAATCCCCAGGTGAAGATGATGCAGACGTGCATAAAGGCATTATTTTGGTCCTTCATCTTCTGCTTCGTGGTCATGACTATTTGGGCTTCCTGCCTGTCCAGTTAGCAAAATGTACCGTTTTCGGTGCTAGAATGCTTTCTGTCAATCAAAACGTTTTCTTGTTGAACAAAAGCGAGAAACGCCTAGAAGCTGGACACTCAAGGCTATGCTCATTGTTGAAATGGTGGATCCCTACATGAAGGATATGGTTGGCCTAGGTGGGCATTTGCGAAACTTCCATGTGTGGTTTAGGTCACTTTGGGATTGCACTGCAGGTTCAAGCCTTTGGTGTAGGGCTTAGGTCACAAAAGGGTGGATGCCACTTTTTTGAGAATTTCTATTCATAAGGATTCCCTAGTGTTCTCGGTGCTTGGGAGGCTTAAGAGATGGCCCAGGTATGTTTGACGACTGCGAGCTGTGCCAGACGGCGACGAACTCTGTCATGCAAGCGAATTTGCTGCTATTCAAGACTGTCATTGCGGGCGATAGCTGGGGACAAATCGCTGTGCCGGTCATTCTCCGACATCCTGAGACCTCTGTGATCTTTGTGGGTTCGCTGCTGACCTTGGTTTTTGGTGTGCTGAATCTGGGTTGCTGTTAAGAAACTTAAGTTAAACTACTATAGTAAGGCAACCTTATCATTTACAATATCCCTATTATGGTAAGTTAACTTAAGTTACTTAAAAGCAACCAAGGAATTTGATTGTCGCCGTAGTGGTATCTGGGCAGCACGCTCTGGCTTTACTTTTGCGTGGCAGTCCGAACTGGACATCGGTTTTTTCCGCCTGAGAGCGTCGTCTAACAATTGTGGTTTTAAACCGTACGTCCTAAAACCAGTTAACCCTAAACCCTACACCGCAAATCTTAAACCCATTTATCCCTAAACCCATTCAACCTTAAACGTTGAAACCTCCTTAAAAGAGCCACTCACCAGCTTCATTCTTGACAAAAACCCATACATGGTAGTTTCCCAAAATGAGGGGACCCCAATATACTACTATCCCTATTAATTACGGGGACCCCCAAAAAGGTACCCCCAATTTTGGGAAACCCTCACATCGAGCCTATTACCCTTCACTGAGGTGGACACCTTTGCGGATGCGCGAGAGAGGGACATCCTCAACTTGGCCGAGGTCCGCCAGTAGACATGAGCTAGAGACTATAAACTCCTTAGAGGGGGGTTTTATTCGGGATGATATAGGGTTTATATGGGGATATACAGGATTTGGGCTTAAGGTTTAGGGTCTAAACTCCTTAAAAAGGGTATATAGGGTTTTTTTTGCAGGGGATTATTACAGGCGTTACTAAGGGGGATACCGGGAGTTTAGAGTATAGCTCACATGAAGCAAAGGGAAGCAAGTACGTAGGGTTTAGGAACATCGGTGGGGGTTAGTGTATGGGGCTGGGCTGTTGTGGATCCCTCTCTGTGACAGTTCTCGCAGCCTAGGTGCCTAGCAGAAACCCTTCAGCATGGTTGTACTGGCATGGGGGGGCAGGGTAGGGCATCGGGGGAGGGTCAGGGGATGTGAGAGGTTTGCAGGCCTTGAGCAGGGGTGTGAAAGATTAGGGGGTCATTGTTGGGAGTCCTTATGATAAGGATTATCAAGTATCTTACGGTCCTTTGAGAAACAGCTTATATGAGTTTTCCACGTTAATTTGGGGGGCCTTAAAACCTAAATCCTCAACTCCTAAACCCTAAACCCTAAACCCTAAACCCTGAGCCGCAGGAGCTAGAACAGGATGTTGCTGCAGACAAGTGCCTCGGCGGCAGACTCTGTGGGTTGCTTCACAGCCCAGGGATCCCAAGACTCCTCCTTAATTATATGGGTGTTTCCTCAAATTAGGGGTGCCATTTTGGGGTCCCAATAATAAGGACTATAGTATTTTGGGGTCTATATTGGGGTCCACCTATTTTGGGAAACTACCATATATGAGCTATAGTCTAAACTCCTTAAAGGGGGATTATATGGGGGATTATATATGGCACTACTATAGGGCTTACTAAGGGGGATACTAGGAGTTTAGACAGTAGCTCATATACAAGAAAGGAATATGAGGGATTTGGAGTATAGGTTTATACGCCTGAATTGAGGAGTATTTTTTAAATTCAGATTCGAAGTCTCAGTGTTGCTTCCCCTTTACAGTAGAAGTTGCAACAAGAGGTAAAGGAGTTATAGGGGCCCTGAAAAAAGCCCATTTCCTGTATAAGGGGGAATTTCCCAACAACCTCAACCCTAGGCCTTCTGGGAAGGGTAACGCATGACAATTGTATGCGAGGTCGTGTAAAGAGCCGGCCAGCATTTCTTCTGTGGTCCTTTGGTGTTCAGGAAGTTCCTCCAGAAGATCTTTGACCGCATTGACAAGGCCATCTCTGCCCCAGTAGTGGCTACTCAGGATTCAGGGAGCCCAATCCCCCTGAACCCTAAACCCCCGATAAGGAATATCCCTTAAATGGGGTCCTCAGGGAGGCTTCAGAGTTAGCCGCCGGAAGCACAGGAAGCAAATCTGAGTCTTTCATACCTGCAGAAGCTTGGTGAAGCCATGAAGCAACCCTGACACTCCGCGGTTAAGGGTTTAGGGATTCCATTTCATCTTCCATTCTTCTTTTCCATTTGATTCTCCATTATTGGCCCTTATATCCCCATAAGATCCCTATATGTAGGACGTCCTTGAAACTGAAATCCGCCCTGTCAACCTGCTAACCGCGTCCTCACTGGGAGCAACATCACAACTGCAGTCACCACCTGCAAGACGCTTATTTCATTAGGGCTGATCTAGGACCGAGTGCCTTCTTTGTGGTAGGAAAACTGGGGAGGGTTTTGTGGTCAATCAATCATAGCTACCTCTGTAGGTGTGGACACTAGTCTTTGCAATACGCCTGGCTGAAGTCCACAATTCGAAGACCTGTTATGAATTTCTTCTGCGGCATGTACATAGCTGCAGACACTCAACGGAGCCACCTACCACGTAAACCTAGACCCTGAACCCTGAATCCTAAGCCGTGTAGCTGTGTGCCTGGGCCGGCCTGGAACTTGCCCGGATTTGTGCCTTCTGATGCTTCCGCCATGCAAGTGTCCGAGGCCCTGAGATCTCAAAGTCCGAGGCCCTGTGAACCCAAAGAAGTGTGTATCCTCCAGTACTTGGAGTGTCAGGGGACTTAGCAGTATGCTTGTAACTTATAACCCCTATGAGTCATGTAGTAGTCCCAGCTATCTGCATGACTAGCCCATGCATGAAGTCCCCTGACCCTGTGAGTATGAGCCCCTCATCGCCCGGAAGGCCTGGAAACCTTGAGACCCAAACCAAGCATCCACAACTCGAGCCTGACGTACTGGTGGTTAGTAGGGAGGAGGGGAATATGACCCCTGTGTAATATATTCCCTTATTCCCTACTAACCTCCAGTAAGGAGGTTCGGTCCTTGAACAACCGTCTACGGTCAGTATACAAAATGGCCAGGCACATTGACCGGCAACATGTTGGCTTATTTAAAGCCATACGCTGATGAGGGCATAAGCCCCTGACGCTTACGGGTGATTAGGGTTGAGGGTTCTAGTGATTTAGTGGTCAGCAGGGAATGCGAAATGGAGCATGGGCTTCCCACTAGGAATCGTACGTTGAGACACGCATCCGTTCCCTACAAAGCGCCAGCAAGTGATGTATACATTAGACCCTCTGCAGCCTCATCCTTCAGAGTTTAGACCTGATTCCAAGAGTCCCTAGCACAAAGCATTTAGGGGCAGGTGAAGGAGAATCTGACTTGGGAACCCCCCCCAAATGCAAAACCCTACACCCTAAACATTCCTAAGCCCTAAACCCTAAACCCTACACCCTAAACATTCCTAAGCCCTAAGCTGTGGACAACAGGACGGTACAGGCCAGCTGAGCCTCGAACAGCTAGTCCAAGGCGTCGCGGGACGTTAAGGGGCAATAGTTGCATGGTGAAGGGTGGTTTACGGTTTACTTTAGGTGGACCCCCCACCCGGTAATAGTGACGATAAGGGATAATAAGGATCATATTAGGGTCCTCTTAAATTCCTAAAAAACCACTATTACAGGGTGGGGGGTCCTCCTAAGGTTTACTGTTCCAGTTTAGCTTGGATTTATGGTGTAGTAGCGGTCACCCTTCAGTGATTCGTTGGAGTCTCAGGCACTGTAAAGTTCTGAGTAGTTTTGGGACCACGCGCTAAGCCGCAACTGATACTAAAAATCCTTACCTCCGAAATCCTAGATAAACCTTGACACGGCTTTGGAGCTTGTATGGGTTGTTGGTAATTTCAAATGTGTTTGCAAGAAGGATCATAGTGTTTGAACTTTCGGCAGTTGTTTTTTGGGTACTTATAACCCTACTGTTGCTTCCTCACAGGACCTTAATAACGGACATTTCCTTTCTAATTCTAGTCCTTTTACCCTTAGAAAATTTTCTGCCCGCAACCCTTATTCTAGTTACTGGTATCGAGGTACCTACCCTACAATCCCTGCACAGCCGCTGTACAAACCCAATTTCTATTTCATGTTTCATCTCTGTTGCCATGTGATTCCCCACTAGTTTTGATTATCAAGGTCTACAATGCTCTACACTCCCAAGTCTGAACCCCACACCCTGGTAGTCGGAAAAAGGCCCGTTAAGAAAGAACACCTACACCCAAACTTTATAGTACTTATTGCGGCCGTACACTACACCCCCCGGCCGTTCGAAACTCCACACCCCCCAGCCCTAATTTAGTTATTGCGGTCCTTAGTATCCCCCTTAATAAGCCCTATAGTAGTCCCCTATATAATCCCTATATAACCCCCCTACATTACACCCATAGGGGCCCTGCAAGGTGCCCGCCAAGATGCCGAGTTCCAGAGCCGAGCCTTGTCCGCCAATTGGAGCTGTGGTCCAATCCCTAAATTCTCCAAAAAGAGCAAAGAAGGATCCAAGCTCCAAAATACATCAAAATAGTAGTCAGAGGTGAGAGCAGGAGTACGAATAATAACAGTCCATCGCACCGAGAAACTCTAATATATTGTGGAATTCTGCCTTGAACTTATTAGAGGGTTTGGGGCTATCTTGTAGGGGTCAGGATTAGTGTGGGTCCTAAGTTTGGGTCTCCGTTCTGCGGTATGTTCCTGGGTCCGCTTGTGAAGGTTCTTGTACTTGCAGCGATGCTGGCCACCCTTGCAAATCCTTCTTTAGGTATATCCGCCAACAGCGCTAAACTGTGTAACGGCGCTGGCCGCTCTTACAAATCCTTCTGTAGATCCTAGATGTATTAACCTGCAGCTCTAGAACATGTGTAGATTTTTTTCCCCTAGTGAAGACTCGTAGGGGTTGCCACCACTTGCAGTTGCCCCAGATACCATCCCCTTTTCAGGGTGGTTTCCGGGTCGGACACGTGCTCGAAAAGTGTTGTGCCTGCAAGGGGTTTCCCGACATGGGATCGTCTGAAAAACAACCGCTGTATGATGCGTAGGAGGGACTATCAAAATCCCTTACCCAAATACCATAGATCCAAGATCATCTGGACTCATATACCGCCCTATGAGCCCGCAAGTGCAACACTGGGGTGTTGGAGAGCTTAGTATAGTCTTACACAGCTTAGGGAATAGAAGGGTAT